ATATAGGTCTCAACTCATACAAAGTGAAAATACTAAATTGCCCTCTGGGCTACAAAGAAACATAACTCCCCACAGGGGTAAAATGGGAAAACAATAAATCAAACTAGACAATAATAAAATACATCATTTCATCTCAATCAAAAGTAGAGGCGCTGAATCGTGGCCGTCGATCTGCGGTTTTGCCGGCGATAAACATGTCGATAGCGTCTGTCGATGTCCTCATCACACTGCATATTGAAAAATATTTTTATCTTCAACTTCCACAAGAAAATGATTCACACAAATCATTATTTTCCTTCCGACGAATCCAAAACCTAGCCGAAGTGGATACACAATACTTTTATTGGAACCGAGTGGAACCACAGCCTCTGGAGCCGTCTCAGCTGACGAAATAGCAGAATACACAGAAGAAACCGCGGTGGGTACAGGAAACTCAGCCGATTCATTCTGCGATATCCCATTGTGGATCTGGACGCTCTCCTCGAAAGCCTTACTGAGAGAAGACAAGCCCGAGGCAGAGGACGACGACGATGGAGTCAGTCTCTTCTGCTGGGGCGGCATTGCACCGCACCTGCCGAATTATGGACCGCGGCTGCGAGTTTCACCTCCGACGAGGCCTCTGTTGGCGCTGCGACCTATGCTTCTCCCTCAGCGCTCGCCAGAAGCAGGTGGTTGTTGATCTCTCTCCATAGAAGCCACCGCGGCGGTCACCACGCCGAGACATTTTCTTCCCGCGAGGATTTCTAAACCGCTCAATTTGAGCGGGTTTCTAAGTCGCACGAACCGCCGGTCGTAATACACCACTGATGCTTCGGAGGAATTACTTATGTTCTGCTCAAAACCAACCAAACGACCTAATTTATGGAATGCACGTAAATAAATTACTTTACCCTCCTAATTCTGCATATCAAACAGCCCCTAAATGTATGGTTGATAAAAATAATTATTAATGAAAGTAACTTAGATTAGAATATTGAATCCACAATTTTCTTTTAAGTATATTTTAAGTATATTTCACCAAGCGACAACCCTAATAGAGTCAGCATTGCCCAACCTAGAAGACACAAGACAAAGATGAACTTCGTATTCTAGTCTCTGAACTTATTTGCTATGCTGCCCATCCTCATGCAAAGAGAGGAGAGTTGAACGCTTTCATTCTTGCTTTCACAATAAAGAAGTGGCGAAACAAGGTTGAGCTCCACTTTATTCTCTCTCGCCGCATATGCAAGAAGTTGACTATACTTGCTAGTATAATTGGTACTAGTACAAACCCATAGAAATTTCGTGTCTCTGCGTGTCTCAGTAAAATGGGAGTCATAGGTCAATCTTGTCCTTATAAAATGTTTTATGGTATCGTCTTTAGTGAGCACCCGAAGCACCAAAAGAATATCATATCTGCAAATTTGCCAGTTCCCTTTGAGACCTAGTAATACTCAGACTCGGTAAATGCCTTATAGCACCCCCTCAAAGCCATCATATTAAATGGAAAAGCATGCACCAATGAACAGCTAGAAGAAAGCGAGCAGAAGAGGAACATCAAGAAGAAAAAAAGAAGGTAGTGCCCCTCCCCTTGGAGTAATAGAGTATTATTGATAGAGAGGTTGGTAACTAAAATTTTGTGGGTTCACTCACATCTGCTAATAATGCGCCAACTCTTGTCCATGTCTTCATTATTACGAAAATAGTTACTCTTTTTCTATTCTCTACCTATATGGAGCTGTCATAGTAAGAACAAGATGCACACATAATTGTAAAGTCAAGAAGTCTCCTTTCACTCCCCAAACAAAGAGGTTTGACTTTTCCTCAACTTGCTTTACAAAGAGTTATCCTTGACTTGCTTTACAAAGAATTGTCCTCGCATTACATAGTCGCCCTTAACGCATCTGACATGGGGTGTTTTAAAGCCTGTTTTTTAAAAGTCTCTACTAAAATAGAATCTTAGTCTGTTTAATGAATGTAGCTGAGTCAAAAGATAAAGCATTTATCATACACAAACCAAATAGCTGTCATGAGAAGGTAAACTAGAAAACAACAACAAAAAAAAAAAATGATCAACTCACAAAAAGAGTACTCAAACACTTCGAAAAGTTTTATTGCTTAGAATTTTTTATATAAGCATTACATTTGTGATTTACATAACAGGGTAACCTTGTCCCCCTAAAAATAGCTTATACATAAGATCTAGTTACAATTTGGAAGGCACCGGTTCCCTCTCTACTGTGGATTATTGGCTTGCTCGAGGTCGGTGATTGCTTAACCTCTAAACACAAGTCTTTCAAAAAATGAAAATGAACTCTTCTTACCTGTACTAGTAGTCTGCTTTTGCCTGACCTTCTCTAGGATGGGTTCATGGCTGCTTGTGGCCTCAAGCAATGACTGCAATCCATATAGTTAACTTGTAGTTATCTAAATCGGTTCCTATCAAGGAGATTGGCTAGGGGGAGCATGTTGTTTAAAGATCATTCACCTAATGAAATTTATCTTGCAAAGTTGTCTCCGACACCAGCATATGGGCAAGCGATTAATTCCCTTGCCCTCGTGTATTGAGATAACATTATATAGACTTGTCTTGTACGATAAAACAAATGATTAAAGAGTCCTTGTTGGGCTCCTCCAAAAGACTCCATATAGGTCTTCACCCTGTAGGGCACCATCACCAATAAAACCCACCCTATCGCATGAGTTGTTTGCTATCAAGACTGTCTGTCTATTGTACATGTTCTCAATTAAGTTACAGAAAGTGCACCTTGAAGCCTATGATCATAACTTTATTGATTGAACTCGTTCCTGACTAATGACTACTTCTCCTTAGGGGATTCAACTTGCTTTCTTGGACTCACCCAACATGCTAGATTCTGAAAACTTGCTCAAGGTGCTTGCTCTCGATGACTTGCCTAAGGGATTAGCCTAAGAAGAGGGGGCACACTAGAGAGATATCGACATGTGTATATCATCTAGGTAGTTCACGTACCTTTGTCAGTCTATATTGATTGTATCATATATTAATTTTCTATTTATTTTAGGTGTATCTTTTCATGTTAAACCTTATAAATAAATGGTGAAAGGCATATTTTGAACTTCCTATCGTAAGGATTACTTATACAACAACAACAACATCAAGCCTTTATCCAACTACGTGGGGTCGGCTACATGAATCCTTTTTCTCCATTGTGTCCTATTAAAAGTCAAATTCTCGTTTAAATCTAATAAAGAAAGGTCATTCATAATATTTTCTAACCAAGTCTTTTTAGGTCTACCCCTACCTTTCTTAACATAAGTCAAATCTAATACCTCTACTCTCCTAACCGGGACGTCATCACAAGGCCGCCGTTTTATGTGACCAAACCATCTAAGGAGACTTTCTCTAATCTTATCTTCTACTGAAGCTACTCCAACCTTTTCACGTAGATGCTCATTTCATATCCTATCTCTAAGGGTAAAGCCACTCATCCACCTGAGCATCCTCATCTCTGCCACACTTAACTTAGTATTATGCTTCTCTTTTAAAGGCCAACATTCGGCACCATAAAGCATTGCAGGCCTCACTACCATCTTATAGAATTTTCCCTTAAGTTTGAGGGGTACATTTCTATCACATAATCGTAAGGATTACTTATGAAGATATTAAAATTTTCTACTTACTTTTCTTGTGTACTGATGCAGCTCTCTTTGTTCTTTAGCTCTAACTTACCAAGTACCTATTATTAAGGTCAAATATCATTCATAGACATTTTTATTCAACCACATGACTTATAAATAAGGCCAAAATTTTGAGCACTTCATTGGATGACCCGTCTTGAATCCCCCTTTTTATAGGATGTTCTTTAGTATGTAAGTGCCTTCATGATCTCATAATTAGATGATTTTGGGTTTGTTGGATTTGTCTCATTGAGCTGCTCCAGTTAATTATGTGCTTGCATGATTTAGAGATTATTTGGACATTCAATTAGTATACTAAAGTTCCTTATTGAACTTCAAGTGCTTGATCTTACCTCATTCGGATTGAGATCAGTCCATTTTTTTATGTTGCTAAGTTTATCTCATCGAGACGTTTAGTTTGATCATAAGTTTACTGAAATTAGAATTTAGATGGTCTTGAATTTAATTTTGGAAGTTCCTAATTCAAATATGCTTCAAGATTCATGCCCGGTCAAGCCAATTTTTTCTAATATGTTCGAGCTCAATTGTAATATGTAACACTTGTAATTTTTTTTTTTAATCTTATTAATGAATTTCGCCACATGTGGCTTTCTTCTTTCCCAAAAACTAAAAGTGAGCCAAGTTAAATTCAGTGGTGATGGAACCAAATTATCTATATATGCCTATCATCATTCCTTGTGTGCAGTCCTTATTTGTTACATTATAACTTTGTATCATCACTTTTTTTGGCAGTTTAAGTGGGGACAAATTCAAATACGATGTTCTTCCTCCACTTCCTGCACAACGCAATCTCCCCCCACCCCGAACACTGTATCCACAACAGCCGGTTTCAGTATCAGGAAACTTTAGCTTCAGTAGATATCCGGTATCTGGATCAGTGGCAACTGGGAGCAGCAGGCCTAGACGGGCAGATATCAGTGTGTAATTAATCATTTTTTAAATGAATATTTTGGTGTTTGCGACTAATTTCCATTGCCTGATATACTATTTTGCTAAAAATCGGTGAGCTAATATATCAAAACGAAATGACAAATGCCGTCAGTTGTGGTAAAATGTTGGTCTGGATTTCGTTTGTGTGAGATCATTTCTTTTTTCCCACAAAAACAGAAGATCGTTTGTTTTTCCACATGAAGTGGCTTTTTTACTATTTGTCAGGGAGCTTACTGGAACTAATATAAATATCATTGCTTCGAAGCAATACTTATGATATTTTATCTGAGATAACAGATGTTTTACGGTTTTGCGATCCTTTGTTTCTTGCGCGCGCTGCTTGTTTTGTAGGATACTTAATTAGAAGGCGACACTGATTTTAATATTAGTAAGACTAGTTTTTTTTTTTTTTTAATTGCAAATTGCATTGATAAAGGAAAACTATTACAAGCTATTAATAGAAGAACAACCATCATATTCCTTCTTTAACAAATTAAATAGAGAAGACAATGTTATCAGGAGCAAAACTATTCCAAATAAAATTACTACATCCAATATAAGTGGCACATTAATCAATTACTTTATTATAAATTTTAGAAGTATGATGAGAAATTACATTATTGGAACTATGTAAGAATATAAGCTTTTTATTTCAAAATTCATCTTGCTGCCATTTTGAAGTCTTCATAGAATCTTGAATCATTTTGATGATGTTAATGTTGTCTCCTTCAATAAATATACCTTTGTATTTAAACATTCACATTTGAAGATATTCTCTAATCGTCAAAATAACGTCCAATTCTAATTGAATATATATTCCAATGCTTAAGTTGTCTACCAAAAGCAAGAATAAACATTCTTTTATGAAATCTGACAACTTATTCAATTCCTGCAAGATTTGACTTCATTATAGTTGCATTGATATTAATTTTATTCAAATCTTGTGGTTGGTTATGTCAGATTTTTTAAAACTCCGAACGGAGATGAACATTTCAGTCTTCTAGTAAAAGATTACTTATTAGCTGCAACGCTGTAGTTAAAATATTAATAGCAATAATACAAATAGGAAGCAACAGATTGCCATGCTTTATTGAATTCTTATTTTTCCATGAGAAGAATATAGTTGTGTAATATAATCTAACAATATTTCGATTAGTCTTCACCATTCTTCTAAGTTCTGAAATGCAATCCGTGAGTGAATGAAACAAAGGAATATTACAACCCCATTCTCTAAGCTTGATAAGAATTTCATTAAGAAATTTACATTGAACTGTATATCCACTTCTTGATAACCTCTAAAACAAGAATTGATTTGAATGAGATTTTTATATTTAAAAAAGCCATTTGTAAGTGTGCATTCTTTCTCATTCTCCACCAAAATATTTGAACTTTCGGTTGAGATTCAGCTTAGTAGTCCACTTTATAAATGAAACCACTTCTTCTTTATATTCCTACTCCAATCCAGCTTCATAAGATAATGCAGTAATAGATTTACCCAAATATTGATACATAGGTTCAACTTGATTTTCAATCAACTCTGTATAAATAAGAACCTGCATGATTAAAGAGATTAGATTATCATTAAAATATTTCTGAAGCTCGGTAGCATGCCACTTGCCATCCGGAGATATGAATTGTTGCACATATTTGTCATGAACTCCCATATAATCTTATAGGTTGGCCAATTGTATAGCTTTCTATCAAGGATCCAAATATCATTTAGAATAGTGACTTTGTTACCATTAAATAATTTCCATATAGTGATAGGCTTAAGATAGTTAGTACCATTAATAAAGATATGCCAAGTAGAAGAAGATCCCATCTTGATTTCAACATTTCATATATTACTTCCATATTTTTCAATAAGATTACGATTTGTTGTGACTTTAGCTCACGAGTTTTATGTTTTTGATGATAACAAACATCTTTATATCTCATGGTATTTTTTATTTTATATTTGTTTGTGTGTATACTAACATTTCAGGAATACCATGCAACATCAAACAAATGATCAGAGCTCAAGATTTGGTTGAATAATGTTATGTTGTAAAGGGTCTGTAATATTAATTGATGTAATTTTTGATTTCTTGAGTCAAGTCCTGTGAGGGAGTATGCTTGCTTGGTGACCATGCACACACACATTCAAGGGAGTGAGATCTAGTCAAATCCAAAAGATCAAGTTTTGAACTAATCATACTGGACAATTTTGGATCGTCCAAGACGATCCTTTACGATCTTGGAAAATAGCTGCCAATGCTAATTTAGGCAAGGTTTTAAGATTTAATTTTTGTTCTAAACGTCCCTGACGATCTTGATCGTTCAGGACGATCAATACAAATCATGCCTAAATTGATCCTGTGATTAGGGGATTAATTATGGTTAACTTTTTCAAACTGATCGTCCTGTACAATCTGTATATCGTACAGAACGATGTTTGCCAACATACTTGATTTCTTTAAATCGTCCAAGCCGAAATACCATAATTTTTCTTCTAATCATCCCGAACGATCCACAATATCATCCTAGACGATCTGTATAATTTTGCACTGATCGTCCAGGACTATCCTAATATTGTCCAGGACTATGAGGTCAAATTCTACACATTGTACTGGATGATCCTGCGATTGTTCAGGATGATTTTTGGCATCGAAATTGAGTTTTTAGGGTTTTCTGAAGCTCTCTTCTTAAGCGCATCGTACGGGATGATCATGCGATAGTCCTGGATGATATTTGGCATAGAAATTAAGTTTTTAATATTTTTTAAAACCCTCTTTTTAAGTGAAACGTACGAGACGATCCCACGATTGCCTTGAACGATAATGTCAGTTTGGTGCATTTAAGAGCATTTTTTGAGCTCTTCTATTTAAGCTTTGTCAAAGACTTTGAAAGTGTCTTTGGCAGCCATTGAGGCTTTATTTCTTCTTGAAAAAACTTGAAGAGAGATCTTGAAAGGGAGAGAGGAAAGGGTGGAGTTTGAGAGAGGGAGAAGATCCTTGGAGGGGGTTTCAAGGGAGTGTGGAGGGCGTTTCACATGGTTACTCCAGCAAGCTTGCGCCTTAGTACGATCGGATTCAAGGCTCATCTTGAGGGAAGTTTTGGGACGAAGAAGATCTCTTTGGTATCAAAGGACCTGGCTACTCCGCCACACCGAGGAAGGTTGAAGTGATTTTATAAGGGCTTCTCCCCTAGCTGTGGGGGTTAAAGGAGAGACACTGAGTTTAGTGCAATACTCGGAGGGTGCCTCCGAGGAGTGGACGTAGGTCAAGGTTTGACCGAATCACTATAAATATGGTGTGTTCTTTCCTTTATTATTTCTGCATTTAACTTCCACTCTTTGATTTTCTTTGTGGTGAATTTTGGTTTGGTTTGAGTTTTTGTTTTCGATTGAAAGATTTTTAAAATACCAATTCACCCCTCCCCCCCCCCCTCTTGGTTAGCCTTGAGATTAGTTCATAAGGGCTTAACATCCCTAACGAACTTTCAAGTGGTATCAGAGTGGGATTCATAAAAAAGAATTTTTGAAAACTTTTGAATTTTGATCAATGGCTAATATTTATAATCATAATATTGCGAAAGGATATTCAATCACCCGACCATCATTATTTGAAAATATTACTTTTGATTTTTAGAAAACTCGTATGTCTGCTTTCTTGCAATCAATTAATTACCGAATATGGCAAATGATTTTAACTGGTTATTATGTACCTTAACATATAATAGATGGAATTAAATTTTTTTATTCATTTTAATCAATGGAGTAGGGAATAATAAATCAATGCTAAATTAAATGCTAAATCATTAAACTATTTTTTCTGTGCTTTAAATTTTGAAGATTGTATATTTATTTTCACGTGCACTACTGACAAGAAAATTTGAGATAAATTACACATTATATATAAAGGCTCTAGTGAAATCAAGAAATCAAGGTTAAATACTTTAATACATGATTATGAACTATTTTGCATGAAATCTTATGAGACGATTTTAGACATGTATACTAGGTTTATTCAAATTGTGACATCATTGCATGCTTTAGGTAAAGAATTTTCAAACTTTAAAAAAGTTAATAAAATTTTACGTTGTCTACTTGATAAGTTTGATGCCAAAGTTATTGCTATTTGTTAATAAAAAAATTTGAATGAATATTTTATTGATAATTTGATTGGCTTGCTCATTGCCTACGAGCAAAGTTTGGGTCAAAGACTTTTGGAAGCACGTGAAATGATAGTGCTAAAAGATGAAGACACGGAGAAAAGTGGCTTGGTAGATGATGAAAGTGATGAGTTAACAAATAAATTGGAAAGCTTACTAAAGTTCAAGTCTAAGCATCAACAAAAGTGGAACAAAGGTAAAAATGGTAAAAATATTAAGATTTTTTATGATGTTATTTGCTTTGAATATAGGAAATCTAGACATATAAAAAATCAGTGCCCTAATTTGAGAAGTCTACCTAAAAAAGAAAAGGGTAAAGCTGGGCAAATTATAAAAAGGGCATATAATTAAAAGAAACAAATCTCCTAGGCAGACATTGCTTTTGAATCATTAGACTAAGAGCAAGATGATGTTTAAACCCTTGTTAGTGTGTTTATTTGTTTGTGTATGCATGTTTTTATTCGTTGTATTTTCGTTTGTTTTCTATATTTTCTTTAGTTTTATTTATTTATTTGTTTATTTTTCATTCTTTTTCTTTTACATTATAATTTTAAAATTGCCTTTACATTTTCTTTTTGTGAAGTTCTCTCTGATCAACACACATATTTCATAATTCTAAAAATAAAAAACCTACCTCTTTTTTTTTTTTAAATTCTTATATAAATTGTGGTTGACTTCTCTTACAATATTCAAAAGAAGGAAACTCGTGATTTTATCTCTCTATCTCTTTTCTTAAAGAGGTTATTTTGCTTTTGATTCAAAATCTTATTCATATTATAAATTAGATTTTGAAACTGATCTTTTTCATCTCCTTGCATTTTATCTATCACATAGGGATCTCTTGCAAGTTGTTAAATCTATCTCATAATTTTTTTAAACAAAGTAGTTCATTTTGTAAAGGACTTAAGATTTTGGCTGTCTTTGAACATCCACGGCTAGAGAGAGAATGTCCAAGGCTAGAGAGAGAATGCCCAAGGAAAAAGGATGATTTTTTGAGGATTTCGACTGTCTTCGAACAAAATGGTAGAGGGTGGCCGACCATCCTTGGATGACCAAAACACCTTCTCCCTATTATCTTCCGTGCGTCCAATTTCTTTGGATTCAAAAGGTAGATTTTCGTTCAAACG